CAATCCCCTCTCCTCCATTCTCCTCTTGGGATCTTGGGCACACACACACACACACCTGGCATGAGTTTAAGCCACTGGGTCCAGGACTCGAACCTCAGTTGACTACGTGGGAGTCCAGTGACATAGCCATTACGCTAACTGCTGGTCCCATAGCCCATATTTCCAAATTATTGGTATCCCAGAAGATGAAGAATCTGATAAGGGCATAAAAGATCTATTTCATGAAATACTAGTAGAAAACTATCAAAACCTAGAGGAACATTCAGACACATAGACCCAAAAAATATAAAAGACACCAAATATAATCAACACAAGAAGACCCTCTCCATGGTACATCATAGACAGATTGAGCAAAATCAAAGATAAAGAAAAGATTCTAAAAGTGGCAAGAGAGAAGTGTCAAGTTACTTACAAAGGTTATTCTGTTAGACTAACATCAGACCTCTAAATTGAAACAAAACAGGCAAAGAAAGTATAGAAAGACACATTCAAAAAAATAATAGTGAATGAATCTAAAAATAACAATAAAAGTTATATTTTGAAAAAGAATAATAGCAATATCAAACAGCAATACTATACCTGACAAGATTATCTTTCAAATGGGAAGAATAAATAATTCTCAAAGAAAGAAAAACTGAAAGAATTCAGCATTATAACAAGGTTTTGTTTTGTTTTTTTGAGAGGTTTTTGCTATAGGATACATGCGCTTGCCAGAAAGACAGAGTGAGACAGAGACACAGAAAGCAAGAAATCATCCCGCAGGGAGGATGACCACGCCACAATCCCTCCTCCTCCATTCTCCTCTTGGGATCTTGGACACACATGCACAATTGCCTGTTGTGAATTTAGGCCACTGGGTCCGGGGCTCAAACCACGGTCGACTACATGGGAGTCCAGTGACACAGTCATTATGCCAACTGCTGGTACTCATAAACCAGGTTTTTAAGAAGTACAGAAAGGAGTAGTATATTAGGAAAATGAATGACAGATAAAAAAGACAGAAAAAAAAAATAAAATGGTCAACAAAACGACAAGGATAAGTCCATAAGTATCAATGATAACATTGAACATTAAAGAATTAAATTCTCCAATCAAAAGACACAGACAGGCTAAATGGATAAAAAAAAAAGGGGGGGGGGAATTCATAGATTTCTTACAAGAAACACACCTAACAAATAAAGATATTAATACATTGAAAATGAAGGGTAAGAAAATATTTTCATGTAAATGAAAATTTAAAAAGGGTGGAGTTATGATACTTACACTAGACAAAATAGAATTTAAGACAAAAGCTGTAAGAATATACAAAGAAGGACAGTATATAGTACTAACTTGGATAATTCACCAAGAAGATAAAAACATAAATATCTATATACCCAATCGTGAAGCACCCAAATACATGAAAGTTTACTAGACCTAATAGACTGCAACACAATAATCATTTTGGGTCTCAACATCCCACTGACTTCTTCAGACAGATCATCTAGACAAAAAAATAAGCCAAGAGATACAGGATCTAAACAGAGTGGACAGACATCTGCAGAACTTTTTGTTCAACAACATAAAAGTTACACTTTTATGAACCCTGCATGGAACATTTGTAAAGTTTGACCACATGATAGGACACAAAATAAGCCTTTACAAATTGAAAGACATAGAAACTATATCCAACATTTTTCCTGACCATTATGCAGTTAAACTTGAAATAAACTGCAGAACTGAAAGTTTAAAGAAAATAAAATACAGGAAAATTTTATGGAACAATGGAATAAAAGTATGAGTTCATTCTGATGCAAAAATGTTTAAAAATGACACAGGTATATCTCTAGATGACAAGCACAAAACAAGTATAGATACACTATTTTAAAGATATTTAATACCTTTTTCAATCACGCTCCAAAATTTGTCCAATGTGGTAAAATTACTAATATCAGAACCCTACAGTTCAAAACATTTTATTATAGTATAAAACCTCCAAAATAAATGAAAAAAAAATAAAGAGGACAACATAAAGAAAATACTAGACACATTAATAGCCCAAATTTAAAAAATATTGAACACACAACATTCTAATAAATTCCACAATCTAGAAACTTGAATAAAAGACATTATATAAAATAAAAATTAAAAATTACATAACAAAATAAAATGTAATATTGTCAGTTATGAAATGTGGATATTTTCATTAAGACGTGCTTCGATTTTTTTAATACATAAAGAACAAATATTATAATACATTGAATTAATTTACAGAATGACATCTAGTCATCATAACAGTAGAAATAATTTGGTTTTATTGACTAGTAAGAGCCCATAGACACTTTGAGGTAAGAATAAGTCAAGAAAATATTTGTTTTCCTTGTGAAGTCTTTGCAACAGTTAAGTGTGTAACATAGAAATAAAAAATAGAGAGACACAGTCTGGGACCCAGAAAAATACATTCACCTGTTTATGTGTGCCAATTATGACTCTGAGATAGAAGGCAGGACTTGGAATAACTCAAGAAGAATGTGATAGACAATCACTGCTTAAATTTGGAGTATATAATAATATTTCATCAATATTACTTAAAAAAACTTTAATAAAGGAGTGGGTAAGCTGCCATCATTTCTGTAAATTAAATGTAATTGACACACAGACCTGCCCGTTGTTCTCAGATGGTCTGTGACTGCATTCATGCTATATCAAAGGAGAACTGAATAGTTGCAAGAGAGATTCTACAATGTGTAAGGCAGGAAATATTACCTATAACTCATAAAAAGAGTTAATAACAATGGAAAATAAAAATAAATGGCATTTTAAAATATACATACTCCATTTTTCAGTTATATAATAATAATTTCATAGAAATTAATTATATTGGTGCAATAAAATTTCATCCAAAATCTAAATCTTTTTAGTTCAATCCAAGTTTTTGAATTTTACATGGAGGAGTTCATAAGAACAGTGATGACAAAATTAAGTACAATAAGTCTTGTCTTACTAAGTGACATGTTAGATACAAAAAAGAAACCAATAGGGTAGTGATAAAAGTTAGAGTATCCAGAACTAAGTAAAGATTTTTTTCGAGGGTAGTGACAAAAGTTAGAGTATCCAGAACTAGGTAAAGATTTTTTTCTAAATAAAAATAAAAAAAATGTTAATTTCCATTTTCATATTTAATATATTTTATTGTATTTTAATTTCTTTTATACATTCAATTAATATACATTCCTTAGCTTGTAAAGTGAATTTTCCAACATGAAAATACTTAGCACAGTTGTGGATACTATACACATTATCATCAACAATTAATAACCAATTTCTTTCTTTTACTCTTTCTTCATTTCTTTTTTCTTTCTTTTCCTTTTTTCTCTCTTTTACTTTCTTTCTCTTCTTTCTTCTCTTTCTTCCTTTCTTTTTTTTTTTTTGAGAGATTTTC